GACTTTTAAAGGTTTAAATATATTCTGACTCTGCTTTTTTCCTTTTTATTCTTATTCCCCAAAAAACAAAACTTTACTTACCTAGGACATGAGATGTCACCCTTATCTTTCCAAGACTCTTCCCTGTTTCAATGTTGCTTTCATACCTTAAAAAAGTAAAGATGAAATATATAACATTACATTTTAATTTTATGAAATGAAAATTCTAACATTTCTAAATGGCAACACTTCATAGTTTTCTGAATCTTCAAACACTTATGTCTCTTTATATAAAATACTTAACATTGAACACATATAACCTATGCAATATACCAATTATAGAGATGTTATTTTCTTTATAACCTAACTAGTAGTTATTGCTTATGCTTATAATCATTTATATTCAGATGATTTTTCTAGTTCTTCTGACTGTGAATTAAAGAAGTTATTTATACAATATCTGAGGATAGAAAAAATACAAGCAGATTGTATATCTAAAAACAGTTGCCTTGGGGAGTTTTGTGTACAAGATTGTTTTTTTGTATGCGATTTTATTTTTATTTTTGCTTAACTTTTTCTGTTTTTAATTACAATTGTATTATCATCATTTCAGAAAAGTTTGTAAATTGTGCCTTTTAGCAGTTAATTTCTTTTTTGGCTTTTTTCTGTTTATCTGTAACATCTCTTTCTTTTAACTGTATGTTCATTAGTATAGCTGCCCAAAACAATTTTGAAAATCCTGTAAAATTTTTCAAATAATGCCTGTATTTTTAAAAAAGTATAAAATGTAGACTCTTTATTCGGGGTAAACTATCAGGTATTTCACAGCCAGTTACCAGTTGCCTGCTGTGTGCCATGGACTATCAGGCCCTGGGCAAGGATGGTTACTGTTGTGGGCGCTGCCCAGCTCCCTCTTCAGGACCAAGGCTCTCATTCCTCCAGCTGCAGGGACTGTTGGCTGCTGATGGTACATAGCAGAGTCCCTCTCTGGTAATCACACTTAACTGAGGGGAAACTCTTCACCCAATATCACTCCTGCTTTTGCAAGCCGTGCGTATCCATTGACTAGTAGATGCAGGGATGTAAAGGCCTTATGCCCTGGTTTCAAAGAAAAACAACTGGGAAAGGCCATTCCAGCTCCAGACTGACTAATCCACAGAACCATCAGAAGCTTTTGTTGTGACTACATCACAGTTGAATTCCTCTACTCAGGAACTTCCTGTACTTTCCCATAGGTCTTGATCTCAAAGACACTCTCTGGTAACTTCCCATGTGGAAATTTCTGTCTGAGAATCTGTTTCCTAGGAAAGTTAACCTAAGACTGTGGCTCCAATGGGGGGAGAGAGGTATGGGCTTGGTTTGATCAGTGGATGTTGACATAAACCATTAAGTCAAATACATTATATTCAGTGTCATAGGAGAAGCATTATACAGTCTTGTGGGAGTGAAAGAGGTGACTTATTTTGCTTGAAGTATAGCAGAGGGAGAATGAGAAAAGGTTTTGCAGAAGAGGTAACATTTGAGCTTAACTTTGAAGAATGACTACTTACTCTCTAGGCAAAAAAAGGATATGAAGTAGTCTGGGCTTGTGGAAGAACATATCTTATTACAGTGGTAGCAGAAGGCTCAGTAGAGGTTGATCCAGAGCCAGCTTGTGAGTTACTCTCGAGAGTTTGAATGTTCTTATGCTGGAGTGTGCTCTTCCCTCCCACCTCCCACTGATCACTCATGGTACCCCTACTCCACATACAAGTGTGATTTGAGTAGATACACTTAGAGACATCTTTCTTCAACTCTTTTGCTTGAAGACATTTTTTTGCTTCATATTCTTAAAATTTTAACCTACTTTAGAAAATACAAAAACTGCATATTTTCATCTGGCTTTAAAGTAACCTTCTATAAGGAGACATAAAGATTATCTGTGGTGCTTAAAATTCTACCAATAGCAATTTCTAAAATTCCAAGTGAAAAGACATAGTAAAGTTTACTTAGTTTAGGTTTCTAACACATGAAGCCTCCTTTAAAACCTCAGATGAGAGGTTATCCAGTTGTTTGTAGTGTATGAGTATATCTAGTAATGGCACCATTGGCCTTTGTCTATTGTTTTTAGTGCTGATGTACCACAGAGTCATGAAATTGCAGAGTTAGAGTTAGTCAGTGCTTTACAGGCAAGAAAACTGGGGTCTAGAGAGAAGAAATGAGTTACCCAGGGTCATACACTACAGGTTGACAAAGCCAGCATATTTTTTTTCTTTTTTTAACTAGTAATTTTCCCTCTCTATGGCTATGTAATGAATTCATCAGATCCCTTTCTGAATTATTGGGAATCAGGAAATTATGATATAGTCCCACTTCTGCCCCTGTTGAACTCTATGACCCAAGGCCAACTGTATCAGTGCTCTAGGTCTGTTTTCTCACCCTGTGAAATCAGAGGCTTGGGCTAGAGGAATGCTCAGTTCTCTCCTCTCTGGCATTGTAAGAGTCTTTATCCTTTCTCAAATAGAAGACAAGTCTAAGGGTCCTAGTGGACCAGTCAAAGGTTGAAAGAAGATGAGTACAGTTAAGGGAGTCAGCTAGACAAGGTGTTTCCCTCCATCATTTGCTAGACCAAGCTAACAGTCAGCTGCATTCTTGGAACCTTTATTTTCTGATTTGTGGGCATTTCACAGTAGTCTCACTTTAAACATATTTTACACTCTTTTGTCTTTGTAAAAGAAATGTTCAGATTACCTGTTCTTTAAACAGTGCTTCCACAGACCATGAAGAATTTCCTTAGAAACTGACTCAACCTTATATGCTGCTGATGGTTTCAAGTAAATGGGCTGAAGCTTGCAGCCAAGCCTCAGTGCAAACAAAAAACATTTTCTGGTCAAGCATTTTCTGGTTTGTTCAACTCTATTACAGGGCTGCCTTAAAGGAAGAAAAGTTAAAACCCACAGAGGAACAAAACACAAGCCCTGAGGAGACAGTTTCCAGCCACATTAGCTCAGGTCACCAGAGGAGAAAAGTAGCAGGGTCCTCATGGTCCGGACTGTTGTAGTCTCCGGACTGTCATCTTAGGTTTTTCTGCTATTTTAATTTCACCACTTCAAAATAAAGTGAAAATCAGTTAATAGTTTCCATGAGTTTAGACTGTGACCAGAGGCGTACTAAGCAATTTCAGAACCCGCAGCAACCGCAGCTTTGAGGAGAGGATGGTGATGGATTTACCAATTCATCTTGGCATCGATTCCCAAGTCAGGGGAGGCAGGCCAGCTGTGTACTGCTGGGATGGGATGTGAACAGTATTCCTTTATTCATTCTTTCAGCACGCACTCATCCCGGGCTTATGATATTCCAGGTAGTATACTAGGTTTACTATGGGACAGAGAAATATGTTCTTAAGACATAGTCCCAGCCCTTAAAGAAAATGCAGCCTGATAGAGGAAATAGATGTACGTGCAAATAATGTTAATACAGTGAATGCTGTTAAGTTTCATAAGCAACATAAAGCGCTCGGGAAGGGGAGAGAAAGAAGCCGTGTATTCCAAATGAGGACATCAAGGAAAGATTCACTGTGAGGTTGCCTTCTGACCTATACCTCAAAAGGTCAAAATGGCACATTGCAATTCACTGCAGGCATTAGCCAATGCACAGGACTGTGGAAGCTCCTCATGGTTTGAACGTGTGTGGGCAGTCTGAGGTCCGAAGGGAATCAGCCTAGAAAGGGAGGTTGAATGCCAGATATGGAACCAGCTCTTTTTTACATTGTGGAGCTGTATAAGTTTTTGCTAACAGGAAAATTATTTGGCCACATTTGTGGTTTGGAAAGGAAACTGGAAGTCACTTTGGGGATGGGGAAGTATTACAGAAGAGAGATGCAAATAAGGGAGCCCAGCAGAGACCATTGCTGTAGTAGAGATGCTAACACCCTTGTTACCTGCCCACAGGTACTTCTTGCCTCATGACCATTTAAACTAAGGTTCTTGTGATAAGAGAGCAATTAACCTTCAATTTCCACATCTATTCCAGTTCTCCATCTTTCTAACCAGGTCCTCATTTCAGGTTTATTCTAGATTGTAAACTCAGTGAGTCAGTCCAAACATCTCAGTAGAAACATAGCATATTACATGTGAAACACGGTTGTTTGGTAAGACAGCATGAGATTCTAGGAAATAATGAAAAGTTAACTAATTTTATCAATATTTCTGAGTCCTGACTCAACAAATGGTATCCTCTTTAAGGGGGATATGCCCTTTTTAAAACTGAGCATACCTTTAAAGCCAGATAAATTAACTTTCTTAATTGACTTCTCAAACCGGAACCCCTCCTTTGGGCTCAACGTTTCCATTAAGAGTTTATAACACTAAACTTGGAGATAGCATTTGAATTCAAGGCCTTACGTGATCAAAAGCCTCACTGATTGTGCTGGGCTCTGACGGGGATCTACAGCTAGCATGCTCTGTGAGTCTCAGTTATCAGACCACTCTCTAAAATGCTAGGGTCCTTGGTGACCCCACCAGGTCTCTGATGATGAAGCACACTTTAGAAGTAGTAGTGAAGCGTTCTTCTAGCAGAGAACCTGGGTTAGATAGACCAAATCCAGTGCGCCACCTGCTTTTGTATATAAAGTTTCATTAAAACGCAACCATGCCCATTTGCTTATATATTGTCCATAGCTGCCTTCACGCTACAGTGGTATAATTGCACGGTTGCAAGAAAGCCAGAAATATTTACTCTATGAGCCTTTACAGAAAAGTTTGCCATCACCTCTGCTGTAGTGGAAAAGGACAAGGGTAGGAGTCAGAAGACATGTTTTAAATTCAACATTTGCTGCCTATTACCTGGGTGACCTGAGAAAAACCACTTGATCCATCTGATTGCATTTTCTTCTCCCTACAATAAAGATTGTAAAAGTACTGACTGTGACAAGCACCTGAGCCAGTATGTTCTGTGACAGTGCTTGTCATGTTGTAAGCTGCTGCGGAAGTGGAGCATCTCTAGTTTCAGCCCGTCATTGGCATTTTTCTTTTCCTCTCTAGAATACCTTGGAGCAGTGCAGCGTGTGCTCCAAGCCCATCATGGAGCGGATTCTCCGAGCCACCGGCAAGGCCTATCATCCTCACTGCTTCACCTGTGTGATGTGCCACCGCAGCCTGGATGGGATCCCATTCACTGTGGATGCTGGCGGCCTCATCCACTGCATCGAGGACTTTCACAAGTAGGCAATCTACTCTCCTGCCTCCAGCCTGCCAGTCTCTTGCAGCCTGTTCTCACTGCCTGGCACCTGGGCCACCTAGTCTTCTTTCTCAGAGGCATGGAATCTCAGGATTTGATGGGGCCTTAAAAAGAATTGATTGATTCCCCACCATGCAATGCAGGAATTGCTATCAGGTTGTCCATGTGGCCTTGCCAGGCTGGCCTCTGCTGCATAGCTTCCCTGGGGCTAGTTCCTGGCATCTTTGGGTGGCTTTAATTGTGAGGAAATTCACTCAGCCACAGAGTATTTGTACTGGAAAGAGGCAGGATCCTGGGCCAGCCCTCCCTGGCCTAAACGTGAACAAGATGGGTGACTTTGAACAAGTTGCTCAATTTCTCTGAGCTCTTCAGTTTGGTCCTTAGATGAGACCTGTTTTAAAGTGCTCAAGCTATAACAGCCCAGGATTCTCTCTCCATCCTGCCACTCTACAGATAGGAAGTTATGGGAAGACAGACCCAGGGAAGGATTCAGTCCTTACTAATGCAAGCCTCTCACATGCTCAGAGGCAGCTTAATGCCATTGTCACCACATTCATACCCTCCCCTCAACTCTTCTCCCACCCAGGTCTTCTCTTTCACAGGATATTTTCTAGTGAACTTAGTGAATCCAGTACTGTGTAGTCTTTTGAGGAGGATTAGAAAATATAGTCTCACGGTCAAGACCACTTACTCATGGGCCTGGAAAAATATGTCTCTACTTCCTCAATTCTTTCACTTGCTGGTCCCTCTTTCATGGGTTTTTCATGAAAATTGTATGGTTTTATGTTCTGCTTACTTTTATTTGGCCACTTAGTTGGTTAATTGGTTGGTCACATATTTAAACATTTTTAGGAACTATATGAAAGCTTAGGTATGATTTGCAAACAAGAAACATAGAGGCTTTCTAGACTGTGTTTGCTGGGCAGTGCCCTTCCAGACAGACCGAGGCCCTCAAGGGCATGAAGCTTGCATGGCTCACCAGTGTGGCACCCATTCTGGGGCCTCCAGATGTGCGGTCTTGTGGGTTAGTTTTCACCGCTCTGTTGACTGTCAACAACCAGGAGGTACTTGCCACAAGCAGTTTGGGGACCTGAGACTCATAGTTTAAAAATGAATTTCCTGACCACTTTCCAAGTAGCAAAGAAAGTGAAAACTTCACCAAAAGACGTGAGGCTGAATGAATTAAAAAGCCCCAGAGGCAGAAATTCTCCACCTGAATTAGACAAGGAACGGCTCACTTTGAAAGGGCAGTCACAGCATAAATTGTACTTCACGTTATCGATATTTTTAGCTTGTAATTACACATGAAGAAAGAAAACCTGCATCTATTTAAGAGAACTGAAAAGATACCAATGGGGAGAATGTTTCTGTCACTGCGTTTCTCCTTTCTTAGACTCACCCTAATCCAAGAAAGATTGACAGATATAATCAGAGCACACATGTTTCTGTTGCTGATAAAGAATGATATATTGCACCCTCAATTAAAACAGGAACTCAATTCTGACAAATGTAAACTTATATCTATGCATTTATCTTCCATTTCTAAAAGTGGGGAGCATAATTAGAGACTTGCGGCTGGTGACATAAATGTGTGATTCTGAATGCCCCAGAAAAGCAGACTTGAGCAATTGAAGAGGAAAATAATCTCTAGCCTTCAACTGTCTCCCCACCACCACCACTAATTCAGTGGCATGTTAAAACACAAATTGTTTTTTAAAAATAACGTTGTCTGTATGATTAGCAAGTATTGGGGGGAAAAGCTTCTTTTTATTTTTCCCCCACTTTTTAAAGAAAAATATGAGAACATTTTACAGAACCCTGTTTTTAAGCCTAGAAAGTACTAGAACAAAAAGTAGCTAAAAAGTCCAACCCACAGTGGATGCTACAAGGCTAAGGAGAGAGGAGTATAAGAGGAGTACAATCTCCTGCAGTTTTGGGGGGCTACTTGTTCTTGGCCATTCTGAATAGGTCTCCTTTGTGAGCTTTTAAGAAATGTATTTTAATTCAATTCAACCTCTCTACAAAGAGGTTTCTCTGTACCCATTACCATACTAACTGCTAAAGGAGAGAGAGATGAGGAGAGAAATTGCATAGGGCTGAAATTGCACTGATTCGTAGAGAGAAGCCTCTGTCAGCAAGGAGCTTGTAGGGAGGAAGGTGCAGACTATGTGCGCCATCAGGCAAGAAGGGCTCAAAGCCAGGAGGTGGGCACCTGCAAAGGCTCGTGCCAGAGTCAGAGGAGATTACTTGGCCCTGGGCTCTGAGCAGGCTCCTGGAAGTAGAATTTCCAGTGTTTAAGTTGGAAACAAGGAGATTCCTAACAGAAAGAATAACTCAGGCAATAAATAAGGGTATAGAGTTAGGAAATGCTTCTCCACGTTCAAGGATGATTTGCTTGGCTGTTACCAGAGCAGCCTGGGAGTGGAAGCTACCATGAGATAGAAGAGAACCACGAAAGGATTCTCTCTCACCTGCTTACAATCCTGTCTTTTAAACCAGTGCTTCCCAAACTTCAGTGTGCTTGCAAGTCACTTGGGGAACTTATTAAACTGCAGATTCTAATTGCATAGGTCTGCGGTGGGCCCTAAAGTTCTGCATTTCTGACAAGCCCCCAGGTGGTCTTGAGTTGCACTTTGAGTAATGAGCTTCTGAAATACTATTTCTGAAGCCTTGTGAATGGGTCGCTCCTTGCATAACCACCTTCCATCAAAGTTGGCTCTAGCCCTCCAGCCTGTAAGGCATGAACACTTTCCCATATATCATTTCAGAGGACTGCTCAAACTCAGTCCGGGCAGACTGACCGGTTCTAACCCACACACATGCACGCTTTTCCATTTCCCCTAAATGACCATCTTTCAAGGTGCAACCCAACTGCCATCCCCCCAAGAAGCGTTCTCTGATCTCAATCCCTTTTACATCCCTTTGTTCTGCAGTTTTGTAAATTGACTATAGATAGCACTCACATAGTCTCACTATTAATAAAAAATACGCATGCACACACACACACCCATAAAACTTTACAGTAACCACCTTAAATCATTTTTGCAAGGTAATAAGATATGTATGTATATATAAATCAATAGAACAAATACAGAAATAGATAACACTCCCTCACTGGTCTGATTGCTAAGTCATAGTTTATGTCTGTATTCCCAGTGCCAGCACAGTGAGCCCAGAAAAGCAGGCTTATTTAACTGACCCTTTCATTGTATGGAGCTTTTATTCCTCTATCTTATGCTTTCTTATCAGGCATGTTACACTCATCCATTTATTTGTTTCGTAAGCATCCATTTGTTGATTGCCAGGAATGTACCAGGACACAAGATGATTAAGACCATCCCTCTCTGAGCCTTGGCTCCTGTGGCTGTAAAGTAGAAATGATAAAAGTAGTTCCTCATAACAATGCTGTCAGTAGAAAATAAGGTCAGGTGCTTAACAGGCTTGGCACATAATAAGCACTCAATAAATGGTAGCTATTTTAGCTATCAAAAGTGTTATTCAGTTTATTATTATTATTATTATTATTATTATTTATTATTATTATTATCTGCTCAGTAAACTGAACCTTGAAATAGACCACCTGAGATCTGGAACAATCCTTGAAATGCCGACCAAAGAATGCTGTGGGACTGCAGAAACCGCTTCCTGTGTCTTCTTTTCATCATGGAAATGAGGCCAATTGTTAGGAAGGAAGAAATCCTTACTCAGCAAGAACACAGTTTATAGCTTTCCAAAGAGGGAGAACCTTGAGATTGAACATAAAGGCCCAAGTAACTTTTTTTTTATAGAGAGAAATGTGGCAGATGCTTCATTTCATTAGATATAACCTGAATTTCTGCTCTATGCCGAGTCACAGAGATTGTTTTGGAAGACTCAGAGATGGAGCAAATCCTATATTATGGAAGGTTACAGTTTGGTAGTCCCCAAAGATATGCAAATAATTCCTACTATAATAAGCATATGCAATGACATCTCCTACAGTAAGTAATCCTACCTGGGGAAATTAGGTAAGGCTCATGGATACAGGGATAGGCAAGACATGCTTTTGACCTTACAGAATGTACAGTCGCAATGGGGAAAGGAGATTTTGCAGTTGATTCTAGACTTCTGCTCATTTCACTACTGGTGACCCAGATTCAAAAATAATCAGATAGTTCAAAGCAATTTTTTCGTCACTGAGTATAAACTTCTTGCACAAAATACCAATTATAATAACTCTGATTACTGCCGTAGTTGTACCATGGTCCTTTTAATTTTTCTTTCATAGCAATCAATTGATCTGCTGCTTAATTCATATTTATTTAGGTTGCAGCCATACAGATGCCTTTTGGGTGCTGCCAGGAAAATTAATATGTATTACTTATAGAGCATAATATATGTAAAAATGCTTTGACAACCATAAAGTACTCTGTAAAGCGTTAGATTACTATCATTACTTCTTTTTAAGTCTCACAAATAAATAAATTTTAATATCATCAACCTTAAAAAAATTACTGTGAATAAATGGAGTTGCATAGTTCGTTTTTCTTTTTTTGAATTTTTTCATTTCTTATCTATGTCCATTTCAAATCATGTCTCATTTCACACCTTCACAATTACCATCCCTAACCTCCAGAATATGTAGATGGATGGATACATGGCCTATTTTTGCATCCTATTAATTTGTTATGAGGAAAAAAGGTTAGGACTAGCAGTCACAATAAAGAATATGAAGATATTACTAAATATTAAAATTCCTCACCAACAGTTAACCTCAAAATGATACATATATGTGTGTATAGATGTAAGTATATACGTGTTCAGACGTGTTGTAATCCTTTAAGGAATAAAGAACTTGACAACTTTCTAACTTCTTTTTCAAACAAAAGTTTAACACAACCAAAATGTAAGAAGTTGAGATTTGGACATAGTAAGTTTGGTGTAAAGGATATTTAAATTCACTAACTTCTGCTGTTTCGAAAAGATAGTCATTTGAGATCTATTTCCCAGAATCTGAGACACATTTCAAAGAAAGAGACTTTTCATAAGTAGACTCTTCATGAGGCAAAGTTACCAGGCTCAGAACAGTGAGGTCAGGCCTGGGGAACGCATACAAAAGTCTAGAAGGAAATGGCAGAGACAAGCAGGGGCCTCCAGGACTTTTGTTCTCCCCTCTGGTGATCCCACGGTTTGGGTTTGAAATCTATGCACAGGTGAATTCCACATGAGGTACTGCATGGCCAGTAGCTCCAAGGTGCTCTCATGCACAAGCAGTTCACACGCTGCCTGCCGTCCCAACATCATTTATGATCTACAGGGACCTCAACAATCATTGAGTCTGTTTCTTATTTTAGGGTTGAGGAAGCAGACCCACAGAAGGAAAATGACTGGCTCAAGGTCACAGAATGGTAGATCAGATGTCCTCTCAGTTTATACCTGTTATCCTTTTATTTTAATCTTTGTGTCTCACCTCTTTGTCATTGTCTATGCTCAGTATTGAACCAAAACTATCTCTTTGTCTTCAGGAAATTTGCCCCCCGGTGTTCTGTGTGCAAGGAGCCTATCATGCCAGCCCCAGGCCAAGAGGAGACTGTCCGGATTGTGGCTCTGGATCGCGATTTCCATGTTCACTGCTACCGCTGTGAGGTCAGTGGTCTGCACCCCTAAACACTACATGGCAGGCATTGAATAGCCCATAAGAGCCCAGTTTTCATAAACACAGCAATTACTAAATTTGGGACAGCCCCTGGTGCCTGCGTTCATGGGTCTTGGGTTTTAGATCTGACATGGGCATTTAATGCTAGTGATCTTGGATGTCACTGTACCTCTGTCACTCCCGATTTCCAAAAAGGAGTCGTTCTTATCTTTCCCAAATATGGCTGTATGACCAAAATGCAGAATTGCATATTAAAGGACATTGTAAATCGTAAAGAACTAAGTTAGTGAGGAAAGTTATTGTTGTTAACATTTTGTTGTTGTTATTACTGTACTGAATCTTCAACTTTGGCTCTGATATTCCTGTAGGGCAAAGGTACCATTGTCTCCCATTTAGAAGGATGAGAATTTATTCCTTTCCAAGGGATTGCAACTTCATGTTCAAAGTCATGGAGATTCATTAAGTTTGCCAGCACTGACTGAGTACTTCTCACAAGAGGTCAGGTAACTAAGAGCTATAGGAGAGTTATGCATGAGGTGCTATGGGAATATATGTATATGCCGGAATCCCAGCTGGAAGTGACAAGGAATGCTTCTTGCCCACGGGACATGTAGTCGTTTATACAGCAAAGGTCAGCAAGGCTTTCCCCTATAGTCTGGGTCCTAAAAGGGCACCGCTTTCAGAAAGCGACTTTAAAATGCTTTCTCATCCTGGTTCTGTAAGTTACCCAGACCTTCTCTATTGAAGCAGTTGTTTTATTTTCTGTCAGGTCTCCTGAGTGCAGCAGTGTCACCCCCTCTCACATCTAAGGGATACTATGGACTTCCTCATTACCACACGTTCATGAAACTGGCTCACCTAGTCCCACCAGGAAGATCTTCCCAAGACCCAGACTAGCTCCCTGCAACTACATTCATCCCATTTGCTGCCTTGGCCATAACCAGCCACCTGTTTTATGCACTGAGCTTCATTTTTTCCTAGAGCTCAAATTGCCTTCACGTGAGAAAAGATAATGAAACAACCAAGTTTTATACAAGGTTTTATGACTAAAAAGGAACAATAATGGCCAGTCATCATGTTTAAAATTGACCTGAATCATATGCCTATAAGAGCTCATGGATACTTTAGAGATCATTTTACAGATGGAGAAACCGAGGCTCAAAGAAGAAAGGCTTCCTGGCATTCTTCACACACATACTAGTAGGCTTTGTGTTTTAAACGGTTTTGTTTTCTTGCTAATACCTTTTCTCCTTCCAGATTAAATGATAGCTGTACAAATTAGTTTGCTTTAAAATGCTGAGAATTTCTGTAGAAACAATACTGTAGAATGGAGAAAACACTGAATTAGAAGAGGGGAGGCCATTGTTCTAGTCACTGCATCACACTGGAAATATCACTTCCCTCTCTGCTCCTCACTCCCCCTCTCTAAAGTGAGATCATCCAGGATGCTCCATATGGCTCATTTGGGCTCTGAGATTCAAGGCCTTCGTGGTCCCAACGCTGTGGTTGACTCTGGGCTCTTCAGCATGCCCAAGCAGCAGTAGAAGTTACCTCATTAAATCCTTAAAACCATGTCATTTATGAATTGTTCTTCCTTTCTGTTGTGGTTAAAAGACTTAGTTTGGTTTCACTACTCAGTGTCTTGAGTGCTTCCAGAGCTACAAAATACCTGCTCGTTCATTTTGGTGAAGCCAACCTTGCCGGAAAGTCCAACTGGGGTTTCTGTTGAGGTTGCCATTGCATCTCAGGCGACATCCTTTTTGAACTTAAATTTCATTCTTTGTCAAATGCAGACATGAGCCCCAATGACAGTTCTGTCATGCTAGACGGCAGAGGTGAGGTATGCAGCAATCGCGGCCTTTTAAAAGAGTGTCTACTGAAAATTAGCAAGTGCACACACCCTTAGAGGAAGCACTACATTTTTTCCTAAAGAAACTTCTGTTTTCTCTGAAAGTAAAGGCCAACATTGAATTATTTAATATTTTCCAAAGTGAACTCACAGAGGTGCTACCAACAACAATATAATTCCTTACAGTTATATCCTCTTCACATTTTTTTAAAAGTACATTTCACATCCATTACCCTCTTTGATCCTCCCAACAGCTTGGTAGGGCAGGAAATGCAGGAAGTACTTTCAGAGTGGCAACTGGCCTTACCTGCAGGGACATGGCAGTGTCAGCACAAAGTGGGCTACCTCCCAGCCCAGCACTCTGGGTTCAATTTTATTCAACACTTACTATGTTATACACTGGGGATGGATTGGAGGGACCTGATGATATATGAAGTAAAAAGGTAAGTGGCCACATTTTGGAGGCCTTGAATGGAAAGCTAAAGACTTTAATCTTTACATATGTACTTTCCATTTTCACTTACATCGTCTCCATCTGTCTTTATTTTGCTAGGATTGTGGCGGTCTCCTGTCTGAAGGAGACAACCAAGGCTGCTACCCTTTGGATGGGCACATCCTCTGCAAGACCTGCAACTCCGCCCGCATCCGAGTGTTGACCGCCAAGGCTAGCACTGACCTTTGAGGTCAGTGGCCTGTTCAGCTGGTTAGTGGATGGTGCTGAGAAGAATGAAACACACACACACACAAGAAGAAGAAAAGCAATAGAAAAATAGAAGAAAGGCAATCCAGCTATGGAATGATCTCTATTCTTCATGTAGTAGTAACCTCTCTGTAGAAACACATAGATTATGAGATTTCTTTTTAAGTTCTTAACCAACTACACATTTCACATTTAATTATGTAGGACGTTGATGGTCCTTTGTTCCCAAGGACTTCCACATTTTTGCACGGATTATGCTCCATCCCATTCACTTCTGCATTCCTGTAACTTTTAATCCCTGTTTGTCTCACTTTTCATCTGGTTGAATGGTTTGCTCAGTGTGGTATTTGCTGTCACGCAGATTTTCCTGAGTGAATCAGCCAATTCACAGGTGCTTTTAGGCTTGACGACCCTCTATCTGATCACATCCACATTGCCTATGATCACACAGGATAGCCATTCTTTCTTTGTGTATTAAAAAGTATATATTTCCGTGCTTCTAAACTGGTCATGTTCCTTGGAAAAATGCACAATTTATATGTTAGGCTATAAAGAATTTAAGCTGTAAATTACATAGTTTAAAACAAGCCCAAATTTGTAACACCCAAATGCAAAATCTATAGTGACCGGTGGAAAAGGCCTCATTTTGAAAACAGATGTCAGTAAGAGAGATCCAAACTTCAATCATTTTTTTAAAAGAAATGACAGGTGGGATATGCTGAGAAAGCATGGGGGTGTGTTTGAAAAGCCCATTATTATCCCACAATATTACCTTAAGATTTCCCTTTTCCACACTGCTGGACACAGTACAAACTTGGTTGTCCCTAGAACATAAAATTGTTCTATATTGCCCAGCTTTCATATCGGAAATATTGACTTTTTTCTAATATTCAAACACGAGTACCAAAACTGACTTTTTCTCTAGTGAGGGGTAGCCTTAAAGAACAGCAAATTCCCCTGCCCCCTGGCCCAGGTCTTTTTTGCCTGATAATTGCAAATCAGGGCACATAAAATAGAATTGTAGAGTTTTGTTTAGTTTACTTTAAAAAGACAGAAAAACTTGAAAAGATTGTGAAACCACAGTTTCATTATTCTCTTACTCTTTCTGCAACTTAAAATACATATCACAGGAGACATTGTCATGTCATTGATGTGACATTTATGCCACACTTTCAAAGACAATCATGGGAGAACGTCCTCTTTCTGAGTTAAAAATATACAGAGCTTCTGCCTGGAGTCTTTATTCAAACTCTGTTGGGCAGTGAAATGAATGTTTGCCAACTGCAGAACCATAATTCATTAGGTTCTAACATCTTTCTTTTAAGGAGAGACACCTACCTTAATAATGACATTTTTTTAAACTAATTAAGTATTTTGGATTGAGATTTCTTAAACCTTTCTTCAAATCTTCCACACATATATGCTTTTAAATTATGAAATATTTTAAATATGCACAAAAGTATAAATAATAATATAATGAATTCCTATCTATGTAACACCTAGTTTAAAAAATCAAATATAACAAATATAGTTACATTCTCCTACATACCCTTCCTTGGTTCCACAAATATATTTTTCATCATTATAAAATGATAAAGTCAGTTTTTTAGACTAATTATTTTTATTTTTTTTAACACCCAGAACAGAAATGAAAAAAATATTTGGGCATGTTTTGAATTGCAACCCTTGCCTCTGGAATTCCAATTAAATTTACTTCACTTTAGTAAAAATAATCACAAAAATGGTTCTATTTTTTCAATAAGAAATTCTTAAGTTCATGGTCACTATTGCTCATCTAAGTTAATCTGTGGCTCATTTGCTTTGGTCACCAAACAGTTTTGTTTTAGAACCAGCAAAGTTGTAGTTTTTAAAGGGTTGTTGTTGTTGTTGTTTTTACCACTGTCCTCTTCTTTCCTTAGTACTCTTATCTTCAATCTTAAGTTTCTCATAATGTGAAACACAATGGGATTCACTTTGGGCAGCATGTGGATCATAGGGTACAAGGGCAATTGTGTCTCTGAATTTCTGTCTTCTAAATTAAAGGCCAGACCATGCCGATCACCTCAGAAAGCACTGACTGTGAGACAACTGGGGAGAGAATATAATGTTTGAATTGTTTCAGTAACTTTGTTCTGTATGAAATGCTTGGGAAAAACTGTTTTTAGGCCAAAAGCAAAGAGCCCAATTTATTGAGAAGTGAATTTTATCTCTTGAATAGCAGTCATATTATTATAAATTTTGCTGAAAAAGGAAGAATTTATGAAATATTTATACTATGAAATGCAATGACATTCTACTTGTTTGTTACATTTAAGTCCTTATGTAACTGAATGTTTACAAGCCAAAAAAAAAAGCAAGTTATAAGAAAATACTGTCACAGGCCCATCACTGTGGCATTGCCAGAATACTACTTGCTTACAGTCTTTATAGTGCATTTTTATCACAACCTCAGAGTATCTTTACCAAAGATTTTTAAAGTAAATCTTTTTAAATATAGACTTACTATACTTTTATATAATAATGAATGTGCACACATACATATGCAGAAATATTTAGATTTAGATTTTTTTCTTTCACAAGGTATAATAAGGAAAGGATCCTACAATATTTTATTCCAGGATTTCTTAAGTATATGATTTATATTGCTTTCTTGTCTTTTCTATTAATCATTTGGTTTAAACAATGCCAAATCACTCTTTGCTGTTTTAGTTACATGAAATGTTGCCTATCACAGAGATTTAAAGATCATATTGCCTTAATGGTTTATAATTCTATTATCTTTTGATATATTGTCTTAATTGATGACATTTAAACTTATAAATCACAGAAAAAATCATACAGTCTATTAGAGAAAGTTAGTAAAAATATACTGGTTTTAAAAATTGTCAAGAACACGAATACTTGGTAATTTTGTGTAACATGAGAGATACAGGAAAGGGGAAATAACCCACTCTGCCATGGGCTCTGCAGATCATGTCAATACCAGAGCTGTTGATTGCCTGGATCCCCAGCTCCTGCTGACTCAATGTGGAGTCTAATATGCAAACAAAATTGCCTTTAAAATTTAAAAATAAATCCTGTGTTCCAGCATAAGGCATCAAGGGCTTTGAGATGCTGGAAATCTCTGCAGCTCAAACATGTGGGTTCTTTTTCTTCCTGTTGACAAATTATTTCTGTAGGAGCAACTTCCCTGATCAAAATTCCCTCATTGGGTATATGCTGATTGATGTAGTGGAATTCCCAACACTGTAATTGTTTTCTCGCTGTGAAAGATCCTTTAGAGATGCTTGTGGTGACGTTTAAAGTCTATAAAACTCTACATTTAAACAAGTATTTTATCTGGGTTCAGAGGAAGGAAGAGAACACTTCTGTGGGGCTGCTATAGAGGGTTTTATGGAATACAGAAGGGACTCTGAAAACACATCTTCTAACAGTTTTCCTAGTTAGTAAAAATCCTATTAATGTGAACCAGCCAGGAATAACAGTGTTATTTCTATTTGATACGGTTTGGGTGTCTCTTGTCAAATCTGTGTCAGCTGCCCCTTGATGCCTCCATTATCAAGTTTTGAAGGGTGTTGGGGAAATTCCGGCAGCTACTAGAGAGATCAGGGAAGAACTGATGTAACCTCACAGCCTCTCACCATTCCTCTTGGCTTAGAAAGGCTTTTTCTCCATATACATTTCTAGAAATATTGCTATACTACCTTAGGATTTCACATTTGTAGTTTAAACAAGCGATTGTCCATCTGTTGCCTCAAGCTACAGTACATGTGTGTTATGAAATATGACAGCATGTTCCATACCCTGCTTTAGCCATCTGTAGAAAACCAGGAGACTGAAAAAGATATACCTCTGTGAAATGTTCCTCGAGTCCCTTTCCTGAGATTGCTCTTTTGGTGCACTTTCATGGAAGACAATCAGAGAGCAATATACATGTGTGCCTTATTTTCAAAGAATCTTTACACTACTAGGAGTCCTCACTGAAGCAGCTATAGCCTAAATACTAATCCCCAAAGCTCAAAGGTATACTCACCAGCAAAATCCAGGGAGGTCTGAACTCTTCATTTTAAGCTATTCTAATAGTATTTCTTTTCTCCATTATGTCTTGGAAGTACCTTATGAATTCTTAAATTGAGGAAACATTCTTAATGGCCACAAAGTGATGTATTGGATGTTGTTAGTGATAATGTTTGGTCTTACTCTGTTTTTAGTCAGATAATGAAAACAGGACTTCACCTTGAACCTATAACAGCCATTCATCATCTCTACTTTTTAAAATTGCCGTAGTTTTTTGGTTTGTGTGCTGTTGTTGTTGTTTTTTAATTTAATAGTGGACAGAGCAAGTTCAGAATCCTAGTTCTGAGTTGTTACAGGGCAACCATGAACATTTGAGGTCAAGTTATCTACTCAACAGATAACTAGACTGAATTTTTTCTCATAAGGCTGTTATTTGGTTAGCAATTTCAAACCTTTAAAAGATTATCTGATTAAAGCTAGGCAACTTGGTGAGAATTCTTAATCTCTCTTTCTTCCTCTTTTTCTCCCTCCTCTTTTCTCCTTCCTTCTTTCTTGCTTTCTTTCCTCCCTCCTTTCCATCGTACCTATTAATGCTGTCCTGCTTCAGCTTTTCATAAGCAAATCAATGCAGTGTGGTCCTTAGGGTATTATGATCATAATAAGGGAAGAAGGCTACAACAATGTACATGTGGCATCCATAAAGCCTTCCTTTCTAGGGTATATTTCCCAGATTGTGTTTATTTCTACAATGAAATGAGATAATAGAGTCTTTGGGTTTTATTTTAATGACAGTTCACCAGGGATTCAGATCATAGAGTTCTTGGTAAATTCATTTATGACTGCCCTCGTTTTCTCAGCTAAATAGCAAATGATCTTTCTGAGACTCAGGGTTTTGTTGGTTTTTTTTTTAATCCAAAGCAGTTTTGACTAACAAAACAATGATATTTTTTAGTGATGGCATGTTATTTTACTCCACTGAAACTTGATAATTTTTATTATGGCAAAGAAAAACTATTGCCTATCTGGAACTTTCATACATATCAGCATTTTGCCCATGACAGTGATATTAAATCTTAATATTTTATAAAAAGCAACCTAAGAACAAGCCTGGGTCTTTCATTGAAGTATTTTGTTAAAACTTGGGTCTGAGATTCTTTTGAACTCTGGCTAATACTGATGAAAATATGCATGTGCCCTCTGTGTCCTTTTGTTTGTTGGGAAAAAGCTTATAATTCTAGGGCTACATTTCCATTTTTGTTCTTTATCCTCATTTTCATCTTCTACACATTTTCACAAGGTTGACACTGATTTTCCTTTTGGAGAGGGATCACATAGGTGGACAATAAAACATAATAACAATATGTAATACTTAATTCAATACATAAATGAAATTGCCAAGAATTAATGGAAAATCCCAGTGAGTATTTCATTTTGATATATAGGCAGAGTATTTTTTGTTTGTTTGTTTGTTTGTTAACCTGTCTCCAAGAAGTGTGGGATTCAAGAGCAGAATGAGAAATTTTAGAGGAGAGACAGTCTATAATTAAAACTATGGCAACACACAGTTCTTGTATAGTGTGACTGAGAATTTTCATAAGGGCTTTAGGGAGCAGCAATCACAGTTATTTAAGGGGATAATATATATATATATATATGTATTTCCAAGTTGATGAGCTATTTAAAAGGCACTATGGCTAACAATCTATTTTTCCTCGGTCAGAAAAGAGTACAATGACAGCTGCTGCCGGGTTCCATGCCTGGCCACAACTACACTAGAAATTTGATGATGCCTGACCTCTTATCCGCTCAGAGAGCGGGGCATAGCTCGCCTCTTTCTGAGAGATGATGATGCATATTCTGATATAGTTTTAGATAAATTACACTACACCCTAAACATCTCTGCAGGTTAGAGATTTCTCTATTCATACAGTGTTTTATTCTTTTCCAATGTACTTACCTGGTGAGCGCAAGTAGTAGTTCTTTGATCTGTGGTTCTTCCATTCAAATCTCTTTTCTGTGTCATGCCTAATAACCACACTATCAAGAATTTGTACCTCTTTTCTCTTTTTAGTTGCACAGAAAATTAAATATGAAATGGCATATTTTCCCTTCAATACTGAAAGGACAGACACTTATTCCTTTCTCTATTTTACTTTCCTGGCTCTTGTTCCAAAAAGTTGTGACTTTATTTTAGTTATCCAACATGCAAGTGGCTTATTTGGGGGGAAATTGTGTGGAACACGCATTTTTACTAAACTCAGTGACATTTCCCCCTTGATGTTATCAAAAAATTACTAAAATCTTTGCTCTTTGTTTCTGATTAATGTACAGAAGTCTCTGACAACACTAATAAATCTGGCTCTAAAGCTAGGCAAAACAAGTCTAACATCTAAATATTTGCCTGTTGGTCAGATATCAATCATTCTTTCAATTTTCCTTCATTTATTGACAGGATGTCAAGGCCAATTAACTTTCTGCTTTTTCTTTGAACTGATGGACCCCAAAATATCTTCTAATATTATTTCAGTCTACTCGGTGAAATGTAGCAATAACTTTGGTTCAAGCTAGGTTAAAATATTTTTTTCAGGGTTGAAAGTAAATTGAATTTGAATCACCCAAAGGAAACTGATATTAAATGTAGAAATTTCCCTTAGGGACTCAAACCCAGGAGAGAGAATGCTAGATGAGGACAGATGTGTACACAACTTTATGTCTCAAACTTGTTTTGATGTTGCCAACATCAAAGTCATTCTGAAAACAAGAAGTGAGTTAATACATATGCTGTGCATGACACTCCCACTTCTGGTAAATGTCCATAAAGTCTCTTCAACCCTTTTTTTTCCTGGATTCTTTATAGATTCAACATAATCGTTTACTGGCTTTTTCGTTTTGAGATTCACTTTCATTCTTCTCTGTTCAAATGTTTATATGCAGAGATGTTGCAATTTAGACCAAGTGAACAGCTTTTGCACATGATCGATTAGGAACTATCCTTAGAGGTCCGTATTTTCTCTTTACATTTGTCTCTCTAACATCTTTATACCTTTCTCATTTCTTTAATTTAGTAATCACTGTAAGAGAATCAGCCCCTAAAGTAACTTTGATTCAGGCCAACTGCAATAAGATCAAACAGGTTCCACTGGTGCTCCATAGGAAGGATTATAGTGTAAGAAAGAATAATTCTTCCCAGTGACATCAGTAAAGCTTCATGAAGTAGTAAAATCTGGTAAGAAATCTTGAATTGATGCATTGACTGACTTAGAATTGAGGGAAGACTAGTCAGGGCCACAGAAACAACAGGAAAGCAGAGGCTGTGTTTAGATAAGACCCTCCGCTTTAAGTACCACAGATTCTGGAACTTTCTTACCAGGAGAAAGAGCTTCCAGACAGGCATGTTTGGTGGGAAGGAAAAGGCATAGAGGAAGCCTAATTCAATTTTTATTTGCTTTTTCCTTTCTTCATAATTGAAAAATGGGATGAATGGCCAAAATGGAATTCAACGCATACAGTATGAAAAGGAAGCCTTATTTATAACATTCTCAATGTACAGTCTGAATAGCTCATAGCTACATACTTCACTCTTGCAGCAAAAACACTTTGTCTTTTGGACTCCTACAGGAGAATGAGCAAGGCACCTCTATTTTCCTGTTGCTTCTAGGTCTACAATTAGAAAGGACTCCTCAGTCACCTATTCCATTGTGTTGAAATTCCCTTACAGATTGATGGCTAAGTGATAATACAGACTCTGTTTAAGCATCACCTGCACCAATGAGCTCATCACTTCTTAAGGTCTTCCATTTCCAATGTGACACTTGGTTCTGAGTTCCCCCCAGACCATCACAGCACCTGCCTTTGTGGCTGATGTTCTCCTTGGTGCCACACAAAACTCATCTTTAGTACAAAATTAAATGTTGCTTCATCCCTCCATTGTTACTTAAAATATATCTTTTGCTTTTGGCAGCATGTTGCTTTTAAAATGACATCTTTGAATTTTAGCTAAAAATTATAAAAAATCTTCTTTAAAAATTCCTAAAACTAGTGAAGTCTCTTACGAAGGTCGGCTTTAGAGTTTATGAGTTTTTTTGTTGTTTTCTTTCCTTCTTTATTCAAAAGACAAATGGTTCTGTCAGCTGTTATATAGCTGTATGCCTTTCCCCAGTAACTATCCCAGGAACCGTACATCTAGTTAACTGGCCTGCTGATAGTGATCTTAAAATACTGGGAAATGTCAGTGTGTGATCTCCATTTCTAACAAGGCAAAAGTCAAAAGCAAAAGACAGTGATTCTTTTAAAACTCATTACTTCTGGTTGTGCAAAAGGAAATCATTCTTGGAGAAAGAAGACATAATATGTTATGGTTTTATGCAGAAAGGTATAAATTCTTTTCTTACTGCCCTGAGTTAATATTTAGTTTTCATAGTACTGTCTGGCCTCTGGGAGGACAAGGCTTGCGGCTTCTTCCAGCCCAGTCTGGAATCCGAGAGCCCTATTGGCAGAACGTGTCATTAGTCTCCTGGGCAGGACCTGGGGGTGGCTTTCTGAGGTCTAAAATAATAATTCCTAAGAGACTTACAAACTTCTTTCACACATAAAGCAGCCCTGGGAGAATGGTTATTAATAGCTGTATCCTAGAAGAAAAAGCTGAGGCTCAGAATTATTAAGTGACTTGCCAAGAGCGAGAAGCTGGTAAGTGGCATATTTGGGGACGTACTCGGTCTTGCAAGTCCAGTGGTCCCTTCTGTGGCCACTCTCGTCACAAAATACCTGAGCACAATGTACACTTCTCACAGACTGAAGTACCCCCCATTCTGTGGCATCCAAGGAAATCACATAGGCCATTTAGCTGTCAGGGGGCAAACCCACATGTGCACTGTTGGAGACCACAGAGCTGGAATGCACAATGTGACAGCTTGTGGGAAAGGACTAGGTATTCTGTCTGATCAGTGCTGTGATGAAGTCAACAAGGAAGGGTCACAGTGAGGAACAAACAACTGTGGCACTGAGGCACACTGCGGCAAATTTCCCCAGAGACCATTGGTTTACTTTACATCAACTGAAAAATTCTCTGGAATTGTGAGTTTCAGAATATCAATGGAGATCCTATCATTTAGAATTCAGTGGAGTGCATGGGTGACTTTATCCTTATGACAAGTGTCTCTTCTGTGGACTGCAGTGTAAGCCCCACAGAGGGAGAAACTGCTGTAGGTAAACAATGCATATTACTGCCTCTCTCAGTTATTGATTGAGGCTCACCAAGTGTGTGTCACTGCATCAGGCATTTCCCAACCAGCCAAACAACCCATGACCTTTGAATGTCCATGAACAAATACTATGGGACTGATTACCATTCTGAGATTTGGCCTTTGCCATTGGATAGACTGGGCTCCCTGGGCTGTTGTAACTTTATGATTTGTACCTATCACAGGACTTTGGTACTGTGCATTTCCAGGACACTTACTGGGAAGCCTCTCTGTTACTCTAGAAGCTGCTCTACACAGCAAATCAACAACTGGCCATTCTTTCTCTTGACCTGCATTCCTCAGGAAGCTCTGCCTTTTGGTGTGTGCTCTTGGCTTTTTATTTCATCCCATTTCTTTCTTATAGTTGTTTGGTTTTTGGTAAAAATCTGTGACTCTGATTGAAAAATAATTCTTTCTTCATCTGAGTTAAATCTACTGCAGGAAACCTTTAAAATTATCTTCTCTAATATGCTTTCTAGGCATTTTTCCTCCCTAGAGTTTATTATCCATCAAGCCAGTCTCATCATCTATTTGCTTATTCCCAGGGATTAGTAAGGGCCAAACTAAATAACAAACAGCCTCTCACCTCTGTCCAATCTTCACACCTGGGAAATGCAGGAGGGGCCTGCCCAGCCAGGAGAGTAGTAACCTTGGCTGAGATGGCAACAGTAAAAGTCTGGAAAGGCGCCTCATTTTCTGTGAGGTTTGATAAATGTTATGGCTGATGGATTAGAAAACAGTTCTTGCAGAGCAGGTGGAGTACCCCACCCAGGAGTGGATTAATAGAAGAAGCATTTTAAGGACTTTGCAAAATTATCCAAGTGAGTACACCTGAGCAGAGACTCACTTGGGTGGAACCTGTGACATCTTAGTGAAGGGTGTAGCAGGGCAATGAGGCAGTAAACACAAAAAAAGCAGCCCTTCAAAAAAATAAATAAAAGGAGCCACACACCCTGGTTTATCTTTACATAATATAAAGAAAACTATTAAAACAACTGTCCTTTCATTCTACACAATACAATCCCCCATATTTAGGGGAAATATAATTGTGTTGTCTTTAAAACACACACCCTTGTGTGTGCATGCACACACATCCACACTCATCCACATGCACACACAAACATCTTCCAAGAAACCTTATCCTTCAAAGAAGAAATCTTATTTTTCAAACACAGGGGTTTTCAGGCCAGAAAATTAATAATTCCTAGACCTGACCCATTTTTTGTGGCTGCCAAAAAGGAAAAGTTATTTAAATTTTGTATGGATCCAATTATCTCTTAAAATATTCCAAAGCTATTTGAGATGGAGTTGGAAACTAAGGTAGTTTTCTCCTGCTTGATTCCCTTTTTATATTTTTATCTGTTGGGAGAAGGGTAAAGAACTATTCTTAGGCCGTTGTTGATGTATTGTGTTGCCACTTTTGTTCACACTAAGGTGTAGGATTAATAGTCGCTTTCTTGACTCCATTTCCTCAGCAAGAGAGAGCAAATATTGGACCTGAATGTCTTTCCTCATGAAATTATTTAACTCCACTTTGAACTAGTTCAGAAAATGTAAAATAAGGAGAGGTAGATTTTCTTGGATACATTCTTCTTTTTTTTTCTCCCCCTTGGAAGACTTATGTATGAAGGAGAAAATATCCAGTTTTTTCTCATTTCTTTTTCTTTTTTGGTGCAGTTGATGATCATTTAGTAATAACGATAAGCCAGGAGTAGGAGAATAGCCTAGCCAGATGATGGTGAGTCTGCCAATGTGTTTCATTCCTTCAAACACAGACTTTGAGAGAAAAAGAGATTTTTATCATTGAAATACCAACAATAGGAATGGCCTCATATTTTAACTTTCAGATAGTAAAAGGTGACTTGATATATGGGCAGTGGCTGCATTTTACATTAATTCCATATACCCTCTGCTTAGTTTTTTTGTGAATATCAAGTATATCAGCATATGAGGTGAAATTGCCAAAAAGAGTTACAATGCCTTAACACCTCTCTCACCAGGCAGCAATTTGAAACTGATGTAGATGGTGCCAGCCATCTAGCTTGGCTGAAGTGTATCCTTGATGAAAGAGATTTAGATGCCTGGAAACTAGATCTTGTCACCGACAGTTTATAATGAAGTGGTTACAAAATCAGTTTTAAACTGCTTTCTTTTACTACCCGCTTATTCTCTTGGGAAAGCTGATGGACAAATTATCCAAAATTATTTTCTTATTAAATGAAGTCAATATTCCCTACCTAGAATCTGAATTACGTCCTCCTTCTTTTTCAGGAAACATATCAGAGAGCAAATAGAATTGAAGATGACACAGGCTTGTCTAATTCCTTAGCATGTATGAGATTATCATGTGATTTAACGTGCCTTAAATGAAAATGTAAACTCAGATGCAAAACTTTACAGCTGAGTGTGTAGCATTGAACGTCTACCATGCCATCTCTGCAATGATTTACTCTGGCTTTTTGTTTCATTTTGGTTTTCCAACTTCATCTTTATCATTAGTGTAACAGATTTGGGCTCTCTCTCTGGTGGGAATATGTACACTTATGAGATGCACCCAAAAAAAAGGAAGGAAAGAACTTGCTTCATAGCAAAGCTGTGCCATGGAGCGGCTGTGACATGGAGATGCCAAGCCTGAGGATAGTCATTTTCTCAGAGCCACACATGCACGCTTTTATTTCACGGCTTTTGTTGCAGGCTTTTCTCCTTCTGTGCCGTCACCTTTGAGAAAAACGATTGCACCTTCTCCAAATCTGCCTTTTTAACAGCTTCAGTTGAGTTGGCAAGATGTCCCCAGCTCTGAATATAGCCATTTGCCGACTCTGGCCTCTGCGAGACTAACTCGAATCTGTGATCTTCTGCTCAGTGTACACATCAGCAAAGTGAGAAGATGAACCCTAAAAATAGGCTCTATTAACTTTACTTTTAGATTTACTGCCTTCAAAAAGTGCCTATTCTGAGAAACACAAACGTTATTCCCCCTTATGTATGTACAAACAGTACCCAGAGCCCTGCGGTGCAGCCTTCAAAAACATACTGTCTACAGGAGTAGGTGCTGAGATAAGGAAACCTTGCCAAATGGAAGAAAGTCACTTATTTCCAATATCCCCTCTCAAGAGGCACCGTGAAATGGGCTACAAACACATTCCCTGAGCATTCCTTGCTGATACAGCCACTTTATATTTATATCCTACTGGATGGCGGTGTATTGCTGAGGTTTCTTGTACTCTGCTTCAAGGGAATATATGCTTTATGCAATTGGAACAATTAGTCAGGAACAAAATTGTTGAAGAGAATAGAGCTAGGGCCCGTATTAGGATATGTGTCATCTACATGTTTTATAAACTAAGCATTGGTGGGTTTAGAATGTCAGCATATTTCTTCTCCTTCTATCTCTCAGGCTAACATCAGTAAAAATGAAAGAAAATGTGTTGGCTGTGAGGACTGGAGGCTCAGGGTGCCAAATGTCCTTGCCAGATCTTTAGAGCATCTTTACTTTGACTCCTAAAAATACTAGCATGTGTTACTTAATGGCTTTTGCTTTTCTCATTCTGTCACTGACATTGTAACCACAGACATTTTTGAGGGAGCAGCAGCACAGCCCGGAAAGATGGGTTCTTGCCCAGGTGTGGCAATAGGCCAGGGTCCAGGTACATAGGACAAGGTAGACAGTGCACGATATTTGGAAAAGGGTTGAAGGGAGGACGTGCTTCCAAAAAAGATCTTTCTCAATGTGTCGTCTGACTCAACCAGCTGGCAAATTGCACTTGCCAAGTCTCTCTCTTTCCTTCTAAGTCAGTTGGCTCCAGGTTCACTTGAATGTGTCTCTGCTTTGGGAAAGTGAGACACCTCCAGTTAGCCATTCTCCAAGGAACTCCTGATGTCTTAATCACAAAATCATCTCCTACACTACCTGGTCTCACCCGATCGTAGTAAAGGGGCCCAAGCTCTGCAAGATGCCTTCCATGCCATTACAGTCACATTCTGCTTCCCATCCAAGGAGCCTACTATAAAAACTGGGGATGAGGGGGAAAGAGGTTACTGGTTCACCTGCTGTAGTCATCATTCTTTTATGAACCCAGTTGACTTCTTGGAGAAAGAGTGCTGCTTTTTCACTAAAAATGTCTACCTTTCCTGGTAATGTTCTTTTTCTTGTTTTACCTTACCCAATTTGAACACTAGTCATTTTGCCTATTCTAGAGAATCCTATTTTAGTGCTAGCTAAGAGTTCCCAAATCTCTGTGCAATGTCAGAGGGGGTATTGGGATAGAGAGGTGTTCCACCTGGAAACAAGATGGACTAGAAAGGAGCATGACTTTACTCCAGGTTTCAGTCTGATGATACTGACTGTGAGAGAATTTTGTGTAAATAATGAATGGCGTTTATGATTGAACAGATCTAGGCAAAAGGGAGACAGGGAGAAGCTAGGTTTTCTCTATGCTGAGTGTGTCTACCAAGAGCAAGAACTTCACACTAGGTACAGTCATAGCTCCACCATGATTGGCTGCTAGTCAAAATAATGTTCCCTGCCTTAGGGGAAACCACACCAAAAACGTATAGGGGTTATGCCTAGTTTCACACATGTGACACTGACAGAGACAAGGTATTCCCAAAATGTAGGTTTCCATTTGTAGTTTTACTCTTAGCAAATTGCATTTCTCTACAACGTCGTGAACCACCACTGACATATCCCAAATAACCCATGTGGTTCCTTATGAAAATAAGAGAATCAAACCTGTTATAAGCAAATGATTTGGGTATTCTTTTGTATTTATGTATTATCAAATTATATTAAAATGTTTCTATGTGCCTTCTATCAGTTTTTTCCTTCAATTATATTTTCCAATACTCTGTAAGAATAATTATGAAAATCATTCTTTTTTCTGTAAAAGAACTACAACTACTTTATTATATTTAGAAATTCAATAAACTTCTTATTACATTTACTTGCCTTTGTATCATTTGCTTTCTGTGCAGTCCTCTGAGAAACAATGTCTCTCAGAGCAAGTATGAAGCCAACAAGAGTAGGAAGGTACCCACTCACCTCTATCTACTGTTGGCACAGAAGATCGTAAGGTTGGATGTGTTCTGAAATTACCCGATGACTCTGTGTCTTAATCTTACAGGTAAAGCATTTTTCTCTTTTAAAGCTGGATCTAAGTAAATGGGTCCCTAGGGATGGAGGTAGGCAGGGGTCACAGTTGGTTCTCTACTCTCATCACCAACATCTGGCTGACATTTTTTACACTTTTATTCCAACAATACTGTACATACTTTTCAAACATTGAGAATCTGCTCTGTACTAGGTACCTTAATGGATACAGGTAAAAATCAGACATACAGTTCCTGCTTCCTATAGTCCAGGAGAGTAGGTAAATATAGACACAAATAACTGGGAAAAGGAAAGAAAGACTCAAACGTATGGGAGAGTGACTTAGCATTTTCAATGCTATCACCGTTCATTGTATTATTTTTAATAGCCCTGTGATCTGGAATTATTTTACCCTCAATTATAGATTAAAATTCTGAGAATGTGATAACTAAAGTTAATCCAAGATCACCATTCATTAAACACTTGTTCAAAGTAATGTGTGCAGTTGAACCCAGCACTTCTGACACCCAGTCCAGTGGTCTATCCACTAAACCTTACAAGTAACGAGCTATAGGGTACATGAAACTCCTTCCATGAAATTCAGAAAAGACTATCTCTTCTCTTCTCCACTTAAGCCTTGGGTTTTAGCTCTCCACCATCAATTTCAGCCTACTAATGCTGAGGGATCTGAGAACTACAGACGTGAGAACTCTGAGAGAAGCCCCCATTTTAAAAAGTGCCAGATACAAGATACATCTATGAATACACGAATGATGGATAAATCACTGGGACTCAGAGTATTGATAGCTTCTTGCCAGAAAGTTGTACACAAAGAAGGGCATATAACATGTAACCTTGCCTTCCCTTTTCCCATTTTTCTCAGATTACTCACTTTATGTCCTTTGGCCCTCTGCTTTCTGTATTCTAACTACTCATTCATTTGTTCTTATTCATAGAATGAGTGACCTACAAAAGACTTAGACAACATTCACCTGATTTTGTGGGGGAATAGTAGGTACTAGAGATAGGAAGGGATTTACCCAAGGCCACACAATAACTGAATAACAAGAAGGATCGTGGGTGGGCTGGATTGGGAGTAAAAGGGAGAAAACTGTACTTGAACAATGATTAAAATAAAATTAAAACAAAAACAAGCAAACAAACAAAAAGATGGATCTTGAGTCCAGGTGTCCTGATCTCAGTCCAGCATCACCACAGTGATGACTACAATAACATAGAAGAAAGTGGAATAGAGTTCCATCAATAATTTCCATTTCTAAGAAAAACAAAGAGATTCAAAATGAACAGGAACTGAGAGGTCTTAATGTCCATAGACCCTAATGAAATTCTAGAAGATATATTTCAGGAAGAATGAAAATAGACCAAGAAGAAATATAAATGATGCAGTAAGGGGTAGTGAGCAAAGAAAATGGCAATGATGTAGTTCAACCTCAAGTAGTGTGGGTTTATCTCAGGAATGTGAGAGTAGCTGGACATTAAAAAGTCTGTTAAAGTAATTCACCACTTTCACAGATCAAAATACAAAAGTCTTACCTCAAAGATGCAGAAAAAGAATAATGAATAAAAACATAGTAAAAAAGTAACTCCTTAAAAGACTAGGAATAGAAAGAAACTTGCTTCATTGAGTAAAGACTGCAAAAATCACCGCAAATGGCAAAACATTAGAAGTAATTATTTTAAATCATAAACAACAATGATTCTCAATATTATCACTTCTGTTCAACTTTGTATTGAAGACTCCCTAACCAGTAGTTATAATAGAAAAAGAATGGATATAAGTAACCACTCTGCCATTAATGATAGATGCTATAACTGTAGAAAACTTTACATAGAAACCTGGGACAATAAGCAAATAATTAACATTTAAAAAGTTTAGCAAGTATGTAAGCTATAACATTAACATACCAAAAATCCATTTTATTTCTGTGTAAGAGCCACAAAAGCTTTTATAATAAATTTTTGAATAAACCATATATAATATTAATAAAAATGGAAAGTACCTAAGAATGTCTTTTTTAAAATGTAAAAGATCTTAGTAAAGAAAATTATAAAACTTTACTGAACATTAAAGTACATCTGAATAAGTAGGAAGGTATACCATATTCTAAAGTAGGGAAATAATATGATTAAAATGTAAATTCTCCCTAAGTTGATCTGTAAATTTAATAGAATTATAACCTAAATCCCACCAGAATTTTTTATGGATTTTGACAAGCTGATTTGAAAATTTACTTGGAAAAGCAAATGCTAAAATACCCAAGACATTTTTGAAGAACAAGGAAAGATAATTTTCTTTACTAGGTGAGACTTCTATAAAGCTATAGTAATTAAGACAGATTACTATTTTTATAAATAAGACAAACAAAGGACAAAATCATTAATTGATGGTAACTTAACATTGGACATGGATGCTAGTGCAACTCACTGTGGAAGGGTAGATGGTGAGACAATTGGATTTTCATGTGGATAAAATGACATCCAGTGTCTATGTCATGTGGGCAAAACTTTAAACCTATTAAAAAATCTTTATCCCATGAAATTAAATCAATACTTTCAACTTCACCCTAGATTCTAGTTTAAAGCAAAGCATTCTACCTTTCTGCCTTGGCTATTATGCACAGAAATTAAATGACACACTCTACTTACCCATGACGATGTGAAACTAGCAATGATAGAGAATTTTGCATGAAATAACCACAATCAAGATCCCTAAGTTCAGGTCAGAGAACCCTCTCCTTCCCAGCTCTCCTTTAAAGGGGATGATCCAGGTAGATAGGGAGAAAGAAGACAAAAACACCAGACAGTCCTGTCAACAAAGTCTACCATGCCCTTTGGTTCACCCAGGGCCCAAACCTCAATTTTGTTCCAAATTCTTCCCTCTCATTTTCTCAACAAATGGTTCCCCATATTCTGTCTTTTCCTTGTCCTTAATCCACCTCTCCCTCACTTTGTCTACCCTGCCATAGTCTAGGCTTTCATTTCTTCAGAGAAGCTTTCTACAGAAGCCACACTTACCTTCCCATCTCAGTCTTTCTAAACTTACCACCTCAACATTACCTCTAAACCTTCACTGTAGCCACCTATTTCCAAGGCACAAATTGAACCACACTGCTCCCTTGATCCTAAATTTGACTATCTCTCCACCTCCTCCTAAATTGTATTCAAATTTCTTAGCATGACCTTCAAGTTTCTAGATTATCTTTCCGGACTTATGTACTCCCACTCTTCCCCCAACATCCTGCCATTAAACCAGCAACACTCCCAAACAGACCATGCCTTCTCACTTCTCCTGCCTTTGTCCTCACTTCCTTGTGTTTAGTCTGTCCCTTCTCCTTCCTGTCTGGCACCCACTAAGCCCTGCAAAAGAACCCTGGCAGTTAACTCCATGCAAACCCATGCATTAAGAAGAAGAGGCTTGACCAACCTGAGCATGGCTGCTGGCAGCCTAAGGCCACACCCTTGGGACCCAGGCCCCCTTTGAGTTTCTGTCTGAAAAAGCTCAAACTGTCAAAAGAATTTACTGTTTCTTCTGACCAAGACTTGATGATAGGCCCCTGACTCCCTTTCTTAGAGCATTTACTAAGGTCTTAGAATTTTAAAGCCTGCCTCTGTCCCTTTGAGCTATGTATGCATGCCTCCCCTGCAGCCCAGGAGAGTCTTTCTTAAGGACCTGAAAGCCATTCCTTTGCAATGTAATCATCTGAAAGGATGGGGCCTCTGTTGCCTGGTCTCTGTGGGATGACAGAGCCCTATCTTCATGACTGACAGACACATCTGGCTTAATCCCACTCACTGGCCAACTTCTTCCTCCATCTTTGTTAGTTTTCACTTCCCTAACCCTAGTTGAGCCCCTGTCTACACCCCCTCCTTATTACCTCATTCTCCTTTTAAAATCCCCCATCGGCCTTGCACAAATGGGAAGAGAGCTCAGCTCTTGCTCTGTCTGTAGTCACAGAATAAAATGTTTAGCCACTTTAACTAATGTCTGGCTTTGTTTACCTTTGACACTATTCACATTCCAGTGCCCAGCCTCCCTGTTACCTCCTCCAGGAAATTTTCTTCCTTGACTTCCAAGATGGCATTTGTTGCTCTTATATGTAAGCTCGTACAACTTTGAACAGATATATAGCAAGATATTTATTATATTAAACTAAAATGTACCATTCTTCTAGCTTAACTTCCACCTGTATCAAACTCTGACAAGGTTGGAAATTGTGTTTTCCTCACTTCTGTATGCACGGAGCCAGGCCTTGAATAAGTGTGTGATAGATGGAGGATGAAATGAAGGAGTGAGAGCCCCTGTGTGGGAGGGTAAGGGTTAAGATGTGCTCTCTTTCTAGAGTTGTCCCCCAAAGGAAATGGAGCCCAAGAGGTGTGGTTGAAGAGTAGGAGGGAGGCAATTACATTCCTCCAGGGGAGGGAGATTGACCAGTACAGACTTGTCTTTTCTCACCACTGAGATATTTTCCACTCTACTTTTTCCCTTCCCAAGTCTTTCTAAGTTTGTATTCAATACCTTTTCCCTTCAAGGCTGTGAAGAACCATTTTGTATTCTGTAGTGTAATGAGGGAGTGAAGGAGGACCCAAACCCCTTCAGACGCAGGTCAAAAATTTGCCGACTGAAAGGACTTCATCTTGGCCCTAACCAGATGCAAATGTGTGATGTCAAGCCAACCTAAACTATCCCATTGTTTTCAAATGTGACTAAGTATTGACTAATATTACTTCCTCTGGCACTTTTTTTTTTTTGACTCAGTAGAATGGAAAAATTCCAGGCTGTTGTTATACTTTGCTGTCTGGACAGAATGACTTCCTGAATATCATAACCACTTG